TTTTAAAGTATCCAGAAACCATAATTGTAAACCCTTTGGCTCGGCACTATGGATATCGCAACCCTTCGGCCTTGATTCCATGATAGATATCGTAAATCTGGGAGGAATGTGGCTTTTCCCGGACTTGAACCCAAACCACAAGATGTTCATTACCCGATCGCCGCGCAGTCCAGTTTAGCCAACTGCACTAGCCAGCAGGGCATTAAATATGTATAAAACAGTCAACCAAGTGATCAAAATGAGTAACAAATTTAATTAAATCAATAACAATTTCAACAAACGTATCTATGTCACAGAACTAAACTAGCATAATCATTTTCTCGAAGCAAGACAAACAAAAGAACAGACATTTTGTTTGCCTGACATATTTCGCAGTACCGCATCAGAAGCATACTACATTAGGAGTTTTATTTACTGAAGTAGATAAATGCACCCTTTTAAATTAAAGAAGTGCGGGTTTCAGCATCTCATTTTAGGGAGAGAAAGATAAAAGGCACTTCCCTTTCCTCAATAAAAATGTCATAAGAGTCAACTAATTAGGGGTGGTCCATTCAAAGTCACACTAGATCTGGAAGCTGTGAGAAAGAAACTTGGAATTTACCCTCAATGAATGCATATTAGCAGTAGTCTCAAAGGCATGTTTGAAATGAAGTGCGTTAGTGTCTACTAACATGTTTGTGTTCAAGGGCTAATGGAATGATGCGTGACTTGACTTGGAATTTACCTTGGCTCACTACACATTGGCTTTCGCCACGGCTCACTCTCTGGATGTTTACTGCTACAAAACTTGCACTGCTTTAACGTCTAGGGTTGACAACACAAACGTCACTCAGCTTCTTTGTACATTCTGTCAGTTTATTCTAGTCCATTTATTCCACATGTTCAAACAATTATTCTCACTTTCATCGCTTGCGACAAATTCAGACACTAGCCATTCGCGCGACATAAAGACGACATCTTCAAATACTACGACCGTCTTCTCTGACTTCTGTTGATCAACTGACCACGATTCTAGCTCGGGCTGCCCCTCGCTTACTCGACTAGGCACAAGTATCTCGTGCTGTCCCTTGTGGCACGGACTTTCTGCTTGTCACAATGTAATCGTGGGAACCATGCAAAGCACCTCATCATAGCTAAATACGTCAGCAGAATGTCCTGGTTGATCCTTCATTTCTGGATTCTGCTTTTGTTCCAGGACCGGAGTTTTGAGTGTGCCTCTGTTGTACACATCTGTGCAGTCTGTTGTTTCCATGCCTGTCTGGCACACGCACTCAGACTTCAAAAGAGTCCACCATTATTAAAAACAGGCCATCGTTAGATCTCTCTTCAAGTAACACAGAAGTGAACAACGCAAATCAAAGATACTTTACAACAGGTGTTGGCAACCTATGGCTTATGCAGCTTTTTTTTTTTTTTTTCAGTGGAATGCTGTACTCACAGAGTATGCTGAGGAAGGTGGCGACAGGCATACTCCGTGCAGAGTGTCAAGCATCGCTTCAAAGTTCCTGGTAGTTAGCACGCGTCCTTTGGATATTTTCTCAAGGTCAGGCTGGTGTGAAGGAAAACGAGCAGGCTGATAGGCTGGCCGGTTCTGCGCCATTTGGTGGTGAACTGAAGTATGACAAGCTAGATGTTGTGAGGGCCCTTGGGGAGCGAGTGATCAGTGCGGAGGCACAAATGGATCATTATGGTTTGAGAAGAATGGAGTTGCAGGGAATCATCAGGGGATCTGGCTGACATTGCACTGGCAAGATATATACGTGGCTGCATCTGGAAATGTGAGTTAAGTGATTTTTTTGTATTCGTGTGGTCTTGTTTGATTAATGTATCTGCTGATGAAGGCTATATAGCAGCAACGTTCCTGTTTTGTGTCTGTTATATTGTGAAATTCTCATATGCATTTCATTCAGTTTGATATCTTTCCTTAACACTCAAGGAAAAGGGGAGATGGATGTACAATCAGACAGTTATTGGAGCCATCAGAAATTACAATCTTCGCTTGCTGCTAAAGATGGGAACGCTTATGAGAGTATCCAGATTTCTGACCCCTGCTCTATAACTATGCCCAGTATCTCTTCAATGCCCATTTTCACAGTATTGAAAACACTGAAAGCCATCACAGACAAAACATTCTCCCAAAATGCTGTCAGATAGAAGAATTTTTTTTGGTTCCTTTTAAATTGAAGAAGAAGAAAAATTATTTTGAAAATTTCAGCAAATGTGTGTAATTTCCTTCATTTCCAACAGCAGCTTTTTGATGTTTTAAATTTGCAAATCTGCTAAAAAATACTTCTTCTCCTTCATACACTTTCAGGCATCAATACCTTCTTCTTCTGCACTTCTTTCAGTTACCCCATGTTGAGGGAGATATTAGGATCTTCATCATGCTCAAATTAATGCGCTGAATAAGTTGATCTCAATTTCTTTAAGGCTGTTCTTTACCTTGCTCTGAGTTCCCATAATATCTTAAACATGGCTGTTTGCTGCAGTTGGTACCATCCTCGTCAGATGGCCAAACCATCTCATCTGTAGCTCTTTATTGAATTCTATGACTAATAATCAGTTCTATTCTTCTAATGTCTTCATTTTAAATGTTATCTCTTCCTGTTTTAAGACATGTCACCTGTGTTGTTATGATTGTATGCTCATTAACTGAGGTTAGGGTTCCATGTTTGACGCATTCAATTTGAGACTAGAGACATCATATAGCTGGTGAAGGTCAGAAAAATATCAGTTCTGATTACATCTCTTCTTCTACTTTGACTCTTCTCTTTCAGAAAACATTTTTTTGAGGCCCTTAGCTTTTCTAAAAACTATTCTGCAGTCGTTGTCTGTGGCTTAGGGGCTGCGAATGAACTTCATAATGCCGGGGGTGCTGGGTTCAATCCTAACTGCAGACGGTTTGTTTTTCTTTGATTTTAAAAGTGGTACCGAGAGCTGACCCTTCAGGGAAAACAATGGAAAACTACAGAACGTAGCATTTACCTAGAAAAACCACAACAATGTCCAGTAAAGGATACACAACTAAGTTTCTCCTGCAGTCCATATCTCCTTGTGTATCAAACAGCTTTGTCTTTATTGTGGTTGGAACAGGCCAGATCGCTCCTCTGTTGGCAGCGTACAGCTGATAGTGTTGCACATGCTCCACATTTCCTGGTGTCAAGCTGCAGGGACACGTCTCTGTGTTTCCCACACTCAAAAGTCTGAAAATGTCTTGGTGAAGTCTGTTGCTCCCTGCCCTTAGTCTGAATATAACATGAAGAGAAATTGTTGCATGTGTATCTAGCCACCTTTCTTGGTTACTAGATTGTATTAATATCTTAGCGGATCATGTCACTGTTTAACTGCTCCATGTAACTGCCGCTTCTGGCCAATCTATTTTATTGCTTTGCCAGCCACAGTGACCTTGAATTCACTGCGGTACAGATTGTTTTTCTGAACAGCCTAAGCGAATCAACTCTACAAACTGTGCGTCTTTGGAGTTAACAATTGCTTGTAGAACTGATACATGATCAATCAGCCGTACCATTGCCTATTCAGGAAAGAACATGCCACCAGAAGTGCAATTTCTATGAAACAGCCATAGAAGCATGAGAAGGGTGTGGATCTTCATGCAACCAGCTCATAAAGGAACAATATGTATATACTCTCAAAGGACGGAGAAGGTAAAGATTTAATAATAATTTGATTTCTTCAAACGTAATCACAACACAAAATCTAGAATCACAACTAGCTTCAAAATTAAGTAATGAATTCATTTCAATTTTAATGCAAGAAAAAAAAAAAACTCTGTTTAAACACATGCATATATGGGGTACAGATAAAGGCACAAATGAGAGTTCTGTTAAGATAATCCTCTCAAAATTCTGAAAAGTATCTGATACCTATTTTATTACTGTGGGTCAAACATACAGCTGTACTGGTTGTAATAAAATCTAGTCACTTCTGGTCATTGGACAACCAACCTGGCAATGAAGTGCACTAACAGCCTGGATTATATAAACTTTACCTCTATTAACCCCCCCCCCCCCCCCCCAACACTAACAATACGCTGCGATGCCGTTAAATTCAGCTAAAAATAAAAACAATGTACTGGTTGTACAGGTCAATATTATTTAATAAAAAATATATTTATCCGAACTTCAAACTTATATTTCAAAATGTATAAAAATTTACGAAAAGGGGTTATCAATAACCATAAACAAGGTGACACATTAAATGGAATAGATCCCCCAGGTCCTAAAATACACACATGTATCACGTAACTCATGCCATGACCCTGATTATCAAGACTAATGAGAAAATCTTACTTCAACTAAAAAAAAAAAAAGTTAGCTCAAACGATAATGTTTTTAAATCCTGACACCCCCCCCCCTTTAACTAGAACTATTGAACTAAGTTTACCAAGGAGCCAACATTTTGAAAATGGGAATCCTCACGGGCCGGAAACCTGAGTCGCAGCATAGAAAGGTAATTAAGACAATAAAACTTACAATGATCTGCGGGTCACTTGCTAGGCCTCCATCGGCCGTATTTGGCCCGTGTGCTGCCAGCTGAACTGAGATGCCTAAAAGTTTTAGCAGGCGCAAACTGCGCCAACAGTATTAACTCGTTCATTTGAAGATCATCTCATTATCGCACATAACTATAAGAGCTCCGATCTCCTCCTGAGTATATCTGCAAGTGTTTTTAGGCCAACAACTCCCATTCTGTTCTATTACACTGGGTGTACCAACAGGAGCAGTGAGTCAGGAAAACCCTGTGGGAGCCATCCATTGTTACATCAACCAGCATTAACTATGCGTCTCATAAACAGGTCAGCACAGGCAAGTCGGAAAAGTGATATTTAGGGGAAGCTGGACCCAACCGGAACTGCAGGTTTTTCAGCTTCTCTAGGTAAAAAATTTCAGGTGGGATTTTGTGAATTATCTCAGACGACCAACATGGCAACATACAGCTCCAAGCAGTAGATCTCTCTCCCTCTCTCATACACAAAACAATCATATAACCTCAGATAAAGTAATTTTAACTTTCTCATACACGCCCAGAAACACTGAACCTCCAATGGAGATCCAAATGACCCTTGGCACCATGCCAGAAAAAAGGCCCCTTATCCCTTTTTCCTGGGCTACATGCTTCAGCACATAAAGTATGCTCCCCGAGGCAATGCTGGAGCCCTTCTTGGCCAGGATAATTCTTGTTTTCACGACATCAAGCGGTGTAGTTATGGCTGCAGAAGTGCCACCAGCAATAGCACCACATACAGATGATTGCCAAGCCGTGATTGGTTGTCCGGACTTCTCAGACCAAGTAGATTTCATGAATTCCCAAAGTGGAAACTGAATTATGGAAAATGGAATTTCCCGCATCACAGTGCTTGTGTAGCCTCTGTAGAAGCCTCTCAGGCCTTCAGACTGTAGAGTCAGCCGGAATGATGCCAGGGACGAGCCCGTATTTAATGCTTGCGTTCGTTGTTTCACCACTTCCACTGGAACTCTGACCAGACAAGCAGTTACCTCCCCAACAGAAGCAGCTGTCATATGACCAACAGATTCAAACTGTTTGCTGAAATGTCCGCTGAACAGTTTCTTTGTAGACTCGTACGCTGTGAAAAACAAGGCAGCACCAGGAGCCGATCCCAGTGCTGCTGACAAAAGACCAGAGTAGATTCCCCTGACTCCGCCAGACTTGAAAAAACCTGCCTCCGACTGAAGCCGAGTCTTGATAGTGTCTAATGGGAATAAAATAACATCTACTGATGTGCCTGCGGCACCTCCTGCCAATAAGGCAACCTGGAAACGGGTGCCGGCAATCAAATCAGGATTTACAACCTCCTCCATTTGTGAATTTCGCCTTCTCATATAAATTATGCTTTAGTCCTACAGAGCAATTGTTTACATCTATAAAATAATATCGTTGTCTCCTTTATGAAAGTTAACAAGGCAATTTCATTAAAAACACAAGTAATTTTTCTGAATCTTGGTCAAATTCTAAAAAGAGAAATAACCATTCTCACTGATGGGTTTTAAAAATAAATACTTTCTATAGCACACGTTCAAAAGTTATCTCTGGTAAACTTTTGAGGTACCTTTTGTCAATTCTTAAACAAATTTACAGAGTTTGGTAATCTGTTTCAATCTACCGTTTACATCCAAAAAGTACCTCATAAATATTTTATAGTTAAACGGTATTCTTGAAGATAAATTAGGTTTCAGAAAAAAAAATGGAAATATTATGACTATTCAAGTTTTGCCTTAAAAGTTACCACACAAAAAAAAAGTTTACGAATTTAAATGAACACAGATTTAAATCAAACATATGATTTTGATTTCTAAAAGTACCACTTCAATATACACATTCATGTCAATACGTAAAGCAGCATCGCAGACAATAATTCAGACAGTAACTAGCTAAATGAACACCAATTATTAACTGCAATTATTGAGATAAAGTTCCAAAAAGGAAAATTTCACTTTTTTGGAGACAATGGAACAAATTATATGCTGATTTTATATAATTTAACTGTAACCTTTTACCGAAATAGTTAAATTTTTCAGATGCAAACTTACACAAATATTTAGCTAACATGCAACAATTTTACAACATTGATTTCTATCTATCATGCAAGCTAGTTATTACAATAAGTCAATATAATCATCAATCAATCGTATAACACACCAAAATAATACATCAATATAATGTAATTACCAATCTTGCAAAGAGTTAAACCTTTCCCCAAGCTAAACAATGTCTTTTTGTGCCCCCACAAGTTTTTGTTTTAAAAAAATGATTTGTCAACAGTGTGCTTTAACTTTGTCTATTTCCGTCTTAGAAGGTTATGAGAGTTTTGAGGGGCTTGGGAATTTTCTTGCGCCCCTCAAGATCTGCTAGTTCAATAACAACTAAACAGAGATCGACTTTAGCTCCTAGCTGTTCCACCAGATCACAGGCAGCTTTCATAGTCCCTGGTGCGACAAAAAACAAGACAAATTAAATTTCCATAAGGAGAACATTCAACATCATTAATTTCAAGTAAATTTTATAAATTTAAAAAAAAAAGGACAATTTATTAAAGAGAAAAAAGAGATGATTCAGACACCTGATGAGAATGTCTGGGTATCAACTGTCACAGATGCTGATAAAATATAACAAAGCGCAGAGGAAGGGAAGACCATGCAAAATATGAAATGATCTCATCAAGAAAAACCTTACAGGAAATAATGTCCTCAGCTAGACCCACCCAGAATTTTCCTCCTTTTAACCTGTGAATCCCACTGTACAATGGAGGGTGTATCTCAGCACTGACATGGCAAATCACTGTTTTCACTTCCATGGTTGTAGGATCAGGAAGGTGACGCACTGCCCTGCACACTGTATTTTGTTTGTGCATCCAAGTATGATGCGCATGGCTTCATTCTGTATCCGATCTAGTCTCTTTTTGTATAGCTAAGAGTCAGAATCGCTAGAGCATGCTCAGTTATAGAAATAATAAAACCTTGATACCAGAAAAAAAAATAATAATAAAAAAATAAACGACCAATTAATACAACGCATTATAGATAGCTAAAAAACTATCATAGCCCTGGGACTGGGAGACAGTCCATGAGACGGAGATAGTCAACGACGCTGGGAGATAATCCATGAGACTTGGATAGTCCATGAGACTTGGATAGTCCATGAGACTGGGAGATAATCCATGAGACTGGGAGATAATCCATGAGACTGGGAGATAATCCATGAGACTGGGAGATAGTCCATGAGACTGGGAGATAGTCCATGAGACTGGAAGATAGTCCATGAGACTGGGAGATAGTCCATGAGACTGGAAGAGATAGTCCATGAGACTAGAAGATAGTCCATGAGACTAGAAGATAGTCCATGAGACTGGGAGATAGTCCATGAGACTGGGAGATAGTCCATGAGACTGGGAGACAGTCCATGAGACTGGGAGATAGTCCATGAGACTGGGAGATAGTCCATGAGACTGGGAGATAGTCCATGAGACTGGGAGATAGTCCATGAGACTGGGAGATAGTCCATGAGACTGGGAGATAGTCCATGAGACTAGGAGATAGTCCATGAAACTTGGATAGTCCATGAGACTGGGAGATAGTCAACGACGCTGGGAGATAGTCCATGAGACTGGGAGATAGTCCATGAGACTGGGAGATAGTCCATGAGACTGGAAGATAGTCCATGAGACTGGGAGATAGTCCATGAGACTGGGAGATAGTCCATGAGACTTGGATAGTCCATGAGACTGGGAGATAGTCCATGAGACTGGGAGATAGTCCACAAGACTGGGAGACAGTCCATGAGACTGGGAGATAGTCCATGAGACTGGAAGATAGTCCATGAGACTGGGAGATAGTCCATGAGACTGGGAGATAGTCCATGAGACTTGAAGATAGTCCATGAGACTGGGAGATAGTCCATGAGACTGAGAGATAGTCCATGAGACTTGGATAGTCCACAAGACTGGGAGACAGTCCATGAGACTGGGAGATAGTCCATGACACTTGGATAGTCCACAAGACTGGGAGACAGTCCATGAGACTGGGAGATAGTCCATGAGACTTGGATAGTCCACAAGACTGGGAGACAGTCCATGAGACTGGGAGATAGTCCATGAGACTGGGAGATAGTCCAAGAGACTGGGAGATAGTCCATGAGACTAGGAGATAGTCCATGAGACTGGGAGACAGTCCATGAGATTCAGAGATAGTCCACAAGACTGGGAGACAGTCCATAAGACAGAGATAGTCCACGAGACTGGGAGACAGTCCACGAGACTATAGTTCACCAGACTATGAGATTGTAGTCCAAGAGACTGGAAGATAGTCCATGAGACTGGCCACATTGAATGATTCTCCTGTAACCCGTAAATTATTATAACAATAATATCAATCTTGGAAATATACATTTAAAAATATAAATTAAAGGTTTTCATCAGAGAGACTGAGACATGAAACATTTCAATATTAAAATTTACATATGCAGAATATGGACCAAAGAAAGAAAGAAGAATGGCAGTAACTGTTAAGCGAATGCCTTCACCTCACAAAATGGAAGTGACCTTATTTTTGGAACCACTTACCCCCAGTTGCCAGCAAGTCATCTATAATCACAACTTTCTGTCCACTCAAAATTGACCCTTTCTGTGCCTCAAATGTGTCCTGATAATAAAATGAGAGGGAAAAGCACACACAAGTTATTTATGTAGCTGACTATCTTTTATCTATACATTTTATCTACTTACAAAAAGTACACTGTCTACTGCTTGTAGCTTTCCATCCTTCTAGAAGACAGTATCAAACGATGCTATATGAGGATTTTGAGAGCATGTATCTTCCCTGTGGCTACACACAGATGTGAGTCGTGGACTATCTCTCAGTCCTTAAGAAAGAGAATAGGGGCTTTTGAGCTGAAATGCTATAGAAGGATTGTCAGAATATCTTGGACAAAGAAGATGAGAAATATTGACATCTTAAAAGATCTGAACATCAAGGAAGATTGGCTAATAAACAGCATCCTTTCTCAAAAGCTGAAATATTTTGGTCATATCAAGCGCCACGATGGATTGGAAAAAATTATAGCAGAAGGCATGGTACCAGGAAGGAGAGGCAGGGGCCGACCGACACGAAGATGGGCACAGGATATAAGTGATTCCTTGAGTGTGAAAGTGCATGAGGCGGGAGAACTGGCGCGGGACTGAGTTTCTTTCAGGCAGACTGTGATGAGAGCGACATTCTGCAAAGGACCTGCTATATGATGATGATATATGAGGAAACATGGGAACCACAGCCCATGGTTATGACGAGCCCTCCATATAACACAGCCTGGGCAGTATTGTAAAGATCGTGTGTACATCTAATTCGGAGGGTTCCGGCAGGTTCCGTGAGAAGGCAGTGGCTTGAGTCATTATAGAAGTCCGCTGTGCATGGAGTCACCTTTATTTTTGTCCTGGGATATGCGGGTGTCAAAGGGAATGAAAGAGCTGTCACTACTGATGGTCATCTTATGGATCATGCCAACAGCCATCACAAGTACCAACACAAACAGTCCAACGCATGAAATGAAGTTTATCATCAATGAAACAGCAGTTGCAAAAAAAAAAAAAAAATAGCAGTTGCACACACAGTTTCACATAAAGCACCATTGGTTCTGTGACATCAGACACACACACACACACATATCAAATGTATAGGCAGCCATCACAAGTACCAACACAAACAGTCCAACACCAGAAACAAAGTTTATCATAATAAAAGCAGCAGTTGCACACAGTTTCACATAAAGCACCATCGGTTCTGTGACAACAGGACACTCGCTATTTTGTGAATCTACAGTTCACAACACAAACCATGCAGTGCATGTTCAAAAAAGCATTCCAAATTAAATATGCACTGGACTCAGGAGCTGGAGAAAGGGAAAGGGGGGGGGGGGGGGGGGGGGGGGGGGGGGGGGGGGGAATCAAATAGTTTCAGCCTGTGTGTGGAGAAAATTACAACAGCTAACCACAGTCAGAAGCAAAAAACTTGCCACAACTTTGAAACAAAATAATTAAAACAAAACATCACACCTGCCTATCTGCCATGACGACAGGAAGGTTCATTCTAGGATAAAAACAGTTCTAGTATAAAACTTTATAGTTTAACATGACATATTCTCATAATGTGTGTGCGTGTGTATGTAGAAGCTGGACACTGGAACTTAGGACTCGTGCACCTTGAGCCCTCCACCTTCAATAATTTAATTGGGGCAGGGGCTGAAGGGAACGCAGATAATTTACAAAGTGCCCTAAATTATGCCCCCCCCTTTCCATGTAAACTAACTATGTGCAGCTTTTCTTTTTGTTTATACATCTGATATCATGCCAATATATCATATTTATTTGCCATTCAGCAGTGTAATAATTATTACTGCACGTTTAAACAAGGCTTAACCCCCTTAATCATTCTGGAAACAACCTTAACTAGTTTGTTTTGAGTGAGTGCCTGCTACATCACTGCAGCTCATACTTACAGAGCCGTATTCCAGGTCATAGGTCACAGACACCAAGTCTCCGGGCAACTTTCCTTTTTTGCGAATGGGCACAAATGGAACACCAAGCTTCTGAGCCAAAAGTGGCCCGAACAGAAACCCTCTGGATTCTAGACCCACAATGCACTGCACTCCAGGCGATGATTCTTTTATGGTATCATACAGAAGGTCGATAAGGTCATTGAACACTGAAGGGTCTCGGAATAAGGGGAAAATGTCTCTAAGAAAGAAAGAAAAATAAGAACAGGTATTTCGTGTTATTAAAAAAATGTGTGTGGTAGCAATCAGTTACACCACTGCCGTCTTGCTAGGCCCGTCATGTGACGGGGCAGGAACAAATGTGACCTGGTTGGTCCACATCTTCTTCCAGGCGAGCCACTGACCTGTTAGCCTGAAACATCGCGGCTTCAGTTTTCCTGCATGCACCACGTGGAGGTGCTCTATGGATCATTGGCAGGCTAATTAAATTTTGCTTCTCACCTCTCTAAAGAGAAATTAGCCAACCTTAACATCTGGTAATCTTAGTTTCAGCTTCATAGCAAACGGGTCACCCCATATTTGCTTCACTCCTGTGCCAACGAAAAACACACAGAATGTTTATCACAGTCCCTTGTGGAAAGAGTGACAGACTGCCATCTCAGCTAGCATACACATGCATTAAAAGCATACAGTAGCCATCTAACCTTAACATCGCTGCTTGCAGTGCCAAGTGACTGGGCACACCCTTACATGCTTATTAAATAAAGTGGTGCCGTGAATCTTATTTTTCCCTAAAACAGGACCTCAGGAACCCACACAAATAAGTCTGTATACATGCATTCTGGAATTTGACTTCCATTTTATGAGTGGATCAAGATTTTCTTGGGTCATTTATTTAATCTTCTTTCTTTTCTTTCAACAAAAGAAACCTAAATAAATGACCTTAGAAATATTTATCCACTCATAAGGTGAAATTAAAGCCCGAGAAGGCAGATATGCAGACTTCTCTGTGTGGCTTTTCTGAGGCCCCATTTTAAGGAAAAATATAAGATTGACTGCACCACAGAACAATCATGTCAGAAAATATGACAAATAAACGGGTTGCTGAAATTGGATGTGTTAGGCTAATATGCAGATACCAACAGTCTAGCTGTAAACCACATCTCAATGTTCCAACCACCCTTTTAAAAGCCAATGCAGAGAACACAGTTCTTCTCTAAAAAGTGTTAAACGATTATAATGAAACTGGATGTTTTAGGCTAATATGCAGATACCAACAGTCTAGCATCTCAATGTTCCAACCACCCTTTTAAAAGCGAATGCAGAAAACACAGTCCTTCTCTAAAAAGTGTTAAAAGATTATAACAGCTAAAACTGTCACTCAAAAGAGAAAGTCACTCGGCTCTGGTCTGAAGGTCCTGGGGTTCAAATCTGCCCTGAGTTAGATCATGTTTCTTCAGAGAACAAAATGACATTGGCTCCCAGATCAATCCAGTCTAAAATGAGTACCAGGTAAAGACATGGGAAGTAAAGACATCTAATGTGATGCTGACCACATCACTCATCGTGCCAACTGGTCTAAACAATACTCTAGCACCACATATCCATTATTTCTATGTGGGTTGCGGGGCCTTATTATGATAAGAACATCCACACAATACTGAAGAATTGTCAGCTGCATGGGGCTGGTCCCTAACCCGCATGCCAGAATGTCGCCTCCCAAAGACAGTTTTTATGGCGAGATCCAGCAAAGGAAGAGGTCCCAAAGAGGACAGGAAAAGCACTATAAGGACACTGTAAAGACTGTTCTCAATTCTTTTGGCACTCCGTGTGGGTTCCGGGGCCCTAATATAGGAAAAAACAAGAACAGACTCACTGCCTACCCAAAAGCGTGTCGTAAGAGCACACTAATTGGGAGCTTCCTTCGAAGTCGGAATGCATCTGCCTAAGTGGCAAGGAACCAGCAGTCTGCATACAACTGAGTCAGATCTGAAAAACAGATGCATGCGCAACACTCAGTTTCTGGAACAAGATTGCAGTCCAGAGGTGGATGAACAATCATAACTTTCCACCAGAGTTTACGGCTGGTGAACGAGAAGAAGAATTCTTTTGGTATCAACACAGCAATGTTGGAGGCTGCTGCACAAGACCGTTCTGGATGGCGTACATCCCTCAAGCGTGGCGCATCAACCTGCCAGGCAGCGGAGGTTGCACAGGCAGAGAAATGGAGGCAGACTAGAAAGAATCATACACACTGTGGCTTCCCCATGCTCATGTGGCGTGGATTGGGGCTAAACTAGATGGCTAGCACTCACGAGCTAAATAAAATGAAGGAAGCTGCAGGAGATGCGTTAGCAGCTGCTCGTGAGTCCAAGCCATCTAGTTTAGCCCCAATCCACGCCATGTGAGCGGCGTGTGGGATATGCTCAGCAGTGGCGGAAGTCGCCGGAAGCACGCGGCGGAAGTGCGCAATTGACACGTGACTGAGGCCCTGTTAGGGTAAATTTTCCGCCTCGACAATTTATGACCGTTATTGGAAGGATAGCCAATAAATACGTTCGCAACTTGAAAATTATTAATTTTATTAGTTCAATTAGAACAATCGGCTCTCCTAGCAGATTTGGCCGGCAAGTAGGTCGGCTTCGGTCGGCGTAGTGGGAGTTCTTTCCCTTGGTCGCACTCACAACAACGAGCGGAAAAAGTCATGACTCAAACACGACAGTGAGGTCGACATCAGGGCTGCCAATGCTTGGTTGTGTCCCCCAGATCTGGGTTGTTCTTTTGACGCTGCGGGAAAATCTGGGTTTGTTTTTTTGTTTTTTCTGTGTGTCTGTCTGTGGGTGTTTTGTCGATCTTAAGCTTTAATGACCGATAAATTTGCGTGGTTAGGGGTTGGGTTAGCAGTAGGATTAGGGGTAGGGTTAGGGTTAGGATTAGGGGTAGCGTTAGGGTTACGGTTAGGGGTAGCGTTAGGGTTTCGGTTAGGGTTAGAGATAGAGTTAGGGGTAGGGTTAGGGGTTAGGTGTAGAGTTAGATGTGACAATTGTGACGCCGTAGTTCCCTATAATCGCGCACAGTCGCATGCACGCGCAAACAGTCGACGGACGGTGAATGCTACTGACACGGACAATTCGCCACCGATTGGGCACCAGTCGCACGCTATTGCGGTCATATTTGCCACACTTCCAGTGGCGCCACTCCCACAAACATCAGATTGTCGTCGGCCAGTATTTCGACCTCTTAAGTGAAAATTTGCACATCTAACCCTAACCCCTAACCCTACCGCTAACCCTAACCCCTAACCCTACCGCTAACCCAAACCCTACACGCAACCGTAGGACGATGATAGACACGCTACGCAGCCCTACACGCAACCATCAGATGATGATAGACACCCTACGCAGCCCTATGTGCAACCGTAGGATGATAGGTAACCCTAGACGCAACCCTACACGCACCCGGATGATGGTAGGTAAGTATGTCATTTGATTCGTGATTTTTTCCGCGACTTGTTTTGAGTTTGGCGAAGGGACATAACTCCCATAATTCCCACTAAGCCTGCCGACGCCGTCTAGCTTGCCGGCCAAATCTGCTAGGAGAACCGAACAATCAAATCGCTACGACTTTTACAACCTCATCATTATAAATAAAACACCTCTTTTCCTAATTCTGGGTAGCTTTTAAGCATCTCAATAATGATTTATTTGTTGTAATTGTAGTAATCTTGTAACACCAACAAACTACAAACAGTCTGTGTGACAATGGTTGTAACTTTTGCTTAGTGGAACACAGTGGACAGGTCACAGAGAATATAAATGAAATCGCCAGATAATTACATTAGTTTTAACCTCTTCATTATGAATTAAAGACACAATTTTCTGATACCATGTAATAATTTAAGAGAGTTTGATTTTATATAATTTAAGGTAAAGAGTTCAAAACTACCTGAACAAAATGCCTGGTTTAGGAAAGTCGGGAAAAGATTTCAGCGCATCCTTCACACGAGCCAGCTTGTCGGCAGCCATTATGACCTCTCAAGGGGCAAAGGTCGGGGAGCGGGAGGTTAAACTACGGCCCAGAAAAATAACACCTGCCTTTCAATCTTCTTCTTTTTCTTCTTCTTCTTCTTCTTCTTCTTCTTCTTCTTCTTCTTCTTCTTCTTCTTCTTCTTCTTCTTCTTCTTCTTCTTCTTCTTCTTCTGCAGGATTGTAGTTTTTATGGAAATCCATGTGGATCATCACTGATCATTTTCTTTCTTTTCTCTCGTTCGACCTGAAAGGTTTTGTTGGCAGGCCTACTTTGTGTTGTAGCTTACAGCAAGGCTGCGATAGCTACTTCTTTCTTGATCCCTATGAATTATAGCAATCCCCACGAACTGTGAGCTCTGTATATTTTTGTTTTAATGTTTGTCTGCGACAAGCATGAGTCCTAGACCGATGCGATAGCTAAGTTGGTTAAACCAGCTGTGCGGCGATCGGATGACAAACTCCTTGTGATCCGAGTTCATGTTCGGGAGCTGGTTGAGAAGCCAACAATTTCCCAGATTTAGCTTATCTATCAGGGAATCAAGACCGAAGGGTTGCTAAACACATTGAGGATTTACAACTCGTGGTTTCTGTGTTTTTTTTACAAAATCAATAAAAATTGAGTTGATTATCTTTTACAGGACGTTGCAAACCTAAACATTGTCGACTGCTTTGGTTTTATTAGGAATTTTTACTTTCAGCAGTTTGCCATTGCTGGTGTTTATGAGGGCTTCCAGCACAAACAGGAGATAGTTGTGGCAGCACTAGATCTTGAGGATGCCTACAACAGAGTCGGATATGATATTTTGTTATCTGCAGTCACGGAGAAGAGGTTTTGTCCCTGGCTTGTGATCCGGAAAGCAGGTGTCTTGCATTCACGAATGGTTGTTCTTCGCTTGGGTACATAGACCTCAGAACCATGCAATATCGCCCCGGGACTGCCCCAGGGTTCTGCAATTTCACCAGTGCTCTTCAATGTGTATACAAGCAAGACTGTAGAACTTGAAGCACCAGGTGGTGGAAGGATATTAGCATTTGCTGATGATGTTCTTGCGTATAGGCAGGGGGTGGATAGGCAACGGATAGCTCAGTGTAGACAAATCGACTGACTGGTGTGCAGAAATGAATTCTGTCATAAACTCAGAAAAGGCGGCTGTTTTGTGGTGCTCTCTGGACAATAGAATTGTAAGAGCTGAACTTCCAAGCATCACAATTAATAACAATAACATTAAAAGAGAAAGCAAACTGTGAGGTATCTGGGTATAAATTTTGATAGAAACCTGTCCTAAAGTGAACATGCAAAGGTGGTTGCAGTGAAATGCCAAAAAGGACTCAGTGCTCTCAAAATTATGGCATCAATGAATATGGAGAAGGGGCGAAAGCGGGTCTCTGGCGCTTTAACCAGACACTTCGGGTAGATGAGGCTCGCCAGCACGGGAGTGCAGCTCATCTAGGAGAAGGTAAACTCTGACCACACACCTCCACTGCCTTGTGGCCATACCCATTTTTGGGAAAGCGCTTCGGGAGTAAACCCTGAGCTGGAATCCCTAAAGCGGTCTAGCATTGTACACAGTGCTATTCCGGCAATTCCTGCAACGTCCTCGGTGCCAAGTTGTACTGGTTTTTGCCTTTCCCTTGGTATCACCGGCGACGTAGAGAGGGGGTACTTGCTGTCTTGGCAACAGTCTGTACTCCAAATCAAAACGCCCTGGCCTGTGCCCTGAAGAGGTCACTCCAGCGATGCTTAACAGTTTCGACACAACACGGGAAACAGCAGTCACCGGTTATAAGCCTTTGCTCAATTGGCGTAGAGCAAGGCGCCAGGGGTTGTTTCCAACGGTGGGAGAGACCATCGTAGTCTTATTGGACAGCTGGGCAGCCCCCAGTCAGTAAGGTGTTGTCCCGCCACGATCCGTTTGCCTTGTTGGGTGCACAGGGCTTAGGAGATAACCCGACATACGGATTGTAATCCTTGTATCTACACAAAGAAGCAAAAAAAAAAAAAAAAAAAAATCAGATTCTCAGCTCTAAAGCTGGGCACATGGAACGTGAGGACCATGACACCTGGTATTCTGGACGATCTGCAGCATATGAGCGATGTAAGGAAAACTGCAGTCATTAACAATGAACTGTCCCGTTTGAACGTAGACATTGTTGCCCTACAGAAAACCCGGCTCTCCTCCTCAGTTAGCATCAAAGAGAAGGACTTCACATTCTTCTGGCAGGGAAAACCATCTTCGGAGTCCATGAACAAGGCGTAGGCTTTGCGATTAGGAACCGATTGCTTAGAACTGCCACACCACCTACAGGAGGATCAGAAAGGATCCTTAAAATTCAGGTCCAGACAAGAGCTGGACCAGTCACTCTGATAAGTGCCTATGCACCAACCCTGCCCTTTTCTCCCGACTCCAAGGACACATTTTACGATGAACTCAGTTCCACACTCAGCGAAGTCCCGGAGAGGGAAGCCCTATTCATTTTGGGTGACTTTAATGCAAGAGTGGGCGCTAAGCACAGCTCATGACCATCCTGTATGGGACATTTTGGAGTAGGAAAAATGAATGAAAATGGACAGAGGCTGCTTGAGCTATGCTGTCTTCACAACCTCTGCATCACAAATACCTTTTTTGATCTGAAGCCACAGCGCAAGGTCTCGGAGACATCCCAGATCTAAGCACTGGCACCAGCTTGACATCATCCTCACTAAACGCAGTCACCTTCATCTTGTTAAGGTCACTCGCAGCTATCACAGTGCAGATTGTGACACAGATCACTCCCTCGTGTGCAGCAAAGTGAAGTTAATCCCAAGCAGAATACATCGGGCAAAGAGGCCAGGACGGCCCCGCATTGACACAGGAGAAAGTCGTAATGCTGGAAAAGTAGGAGAATTTATAAAAATCCTGAGCACAGCTCTGCCCGGCCCACCAAACGCGGATGCTAGTGACAAATGGAAACATCTAAAACACGCCCTATATGATTCTGCCATGTCCGTGTTCGGTAAGAGGCAAGTTAAATCACTGGACTGGTTTGAGGAACACAAGGAAGAAATGTTGCCAATAATAGAGGAGAAGAACAAGGCTTTATTGGGATATAAAATCCAGCCGAATATCAGAAATCTGCACGTGCTCAGGTCTATTCGGTCTAGAGTCCAGAAAACTGCACGGCGCTGCGCTAATGATTAGTGGATCAAACTTTGTGAGAGGATACAAACCTCAGCAGCTACTGGCAACATAAGGGGAATGTATGCTGGCATCAAGAAGGCTATTGGGCCAGTAAAAAGAAAGATTGCCCCTCTCAAATCAACCACGGGCGAAATCATAAAGGATCGGACAAAGCAGCTGGACCGATGGGTGGAGCACTACTCAGAGCTATATGCTACAAGCACCTTTGTATATGAAGAGGCCTTAAATGCAATGGAGTGTCTGCCAACCATAAGTGAACTAGACACGGAACCCTCCGTCACAGAAATCGGTGAGGCAGTAGATGGGCTTCCTTCAGGGAAGGCCCCAGGAGAGGATGGTATCCCACCTGAGATCCTAAAATGCTCCAAGGATGCTATTCTTCCTGAGCTACACAAGATCCTCTGTCAGTGTTGGCAAGAAAAATCGGTGCCACAGGATATGAGAGATGCCAACATTATAACTCTCTATAAAAATAAGGGAGATAAAAGCGACTGCAACAACTATCGCGGTATCTCTCTATTGAATTATGTGGGAAAAGTCTTTGCTCGTGTTATCCTAAAGAGGTTGCAATTTCTAGCGGACAGAGTATACCCGGAATCACAGTGTGGGTTTAGGGCCCAGAGATGAACAGTTGATATGATCTTCTCCATCAGGCAGCTACAAAAGAAGTGCAGAGAGCAACAGAGGCCACTGCTCATTGTTTTCATAGATCTCACTAAGGCCTTTGACTATGTCAGCAGAGATTGTCTATTCAGGATCCTTGAAAAATACGAATGCCCACTTATACTACTGAGCCTAATCAAATCCTTTCATGAGAACATCAGGGGGACCATAATATATGAGGATTCATCATCTCAAACCTTCCAGATTCGAAATGGAGTAAAGCAAGGATGTGTTCTGGCTCCCACGCTGTTTGGCATCTTTTTTTTTACCGCATTATTGAGGCGTGCATTTGGGACAGCAACTGAGGGGATATACCTCCGTTCATGGTCAGATGGCAATCTTTTTAATCTGTCCAGGCTACGTGCAAGGATGAAGGTGCACACGAGATGCCTCAGGGATTTTCTGTTTGCGGATAATGCAGCCATTGTGGCACATTCAGAGGATGATCTGCAGATGCTGATGAATCGCTTTGCAAATGCTTGCAAAGAATTTGGGCTTACCATCAGTCTGAACAAAACACAAGTGATGGGATTGAATGTTGGAAATCCACCAAACATTAGTGTGTATGACCATCAGCTGCTGGCTGTAAATGAGTTTGAGTACCTAGGCTCACGTATCTTAGGCAATCAATCTCTGGATACAGAACTAAACAAACGTATAGGAAAGGCCTCTGCTACGTTTGCAAATCTCACAAAGAGAGTCTGGTCAAACAAAAAGCTAACTGATAATACAAAAATGAAGGTTTATGAGTCTTGTGTCCTGAGCACATTACTGTACGGCTGCGAATCCTGGACTCTCTATGCTCCACAGGAAAAAAGACTGAATACCTTCCATATGCGCTGTCTGAGACGCATCCTTGGTATATTATGGCGAGACCTTGTCTCCAACGAATGTGTGCTAACAAGAGCAAAAATACCATCAATGTATTGTATACTGAAGCAAAGACGTCTGCGCTGGCTGGGACATGTCTCTTGTATGGAGGATGGTCGTATTCCAAAAGATCTCCTATATGGTGAATTGGTAACTGGGAATAGACCTACAGGAGGGCCAAAGCTGCGCTATAAAGATGTATGCAAACGTGACCTAATAGATACCAACACAGGCACAGAGACATGGGACAAATCAGCTGCAGATCGACTACTATGGAGACAGAAA